ATGCCCCATATCCGCTTGTCTTTTCCCCTTCCCCGTTCCTTCTGATGAATGTAAAAGGATGAAGATGAAATAGAGTTGACCGAGCCTAAGTTGCAGCCTCTTGTGCTCTGGAATGAACAGTGGACTTATCTGCAGGCTCTTGTTCCCTTGTCCAAATCTGCTGGTACAGTTTTCACAGCAGTTATAGGCTTAATCATATGGGATGCTTTTGCTCTTGATTTACCATTTGAATCCCCTGCTGCATTCTTCTTATGAAAGTACTTTCCAGGAACCTTTGCGGGTAATCTGTTCTTAGCAACAGTTACCATCATACCCAAGCCTTGCTCACCCATCCAATCCAAAATGGAATCTGATAGGAAAAAATTGTCGGCTGTGATATGAGGTGGGAATTTCCAAAGCTTCCCCAATCCAATGTTAGGAAGAATGAAGTTCTCAACTAGGTGATGCACTTCAGCTGGGCCTGTGCAAGAATGCCTATCATCATCAGGTTTCCACCCTCGGTATTGATGTTTCCATGCCCTTGGACGGATTTGATCCACGTCTGACATAAGGACAGTCTGTCCACCTCTCGTAATCATCTTTCCTTTCAGATAGTTATCAAGGGGACCACCAAACCCTTGATACAGCCAGCTAGTCTCATCAATACACAGATCCAAGCCAGCATACTCCATGAAGTAATTCGTGTTGTTCACAATAGTATGGTAGATGTAGTCAAACTTGTAAGCTACCCTACCACTGCTGCTCCTTTTGACATCGTTCTTGCATAGCTTCAAGTTTCTTTTGATTTCATGCCACCTTGTACTTGTCATTGTATTTGCAATGTCCTCATTGAATGAGAGATCCTTTGCATCCCATCTATACTTTATATTYTCACTTGCTCCTTCACAACCTCCATGCAGAAAAAGGATGCCATCAAAATGAACTGCTTCAGGTAAGCTAACAGCTTTGACTTGGTGTCCTTCCCCTTCATTTGAATCCATGATGTACACTTTTGTATATCTCATCACCTTGTTGTAATAAGTAAGCTTCTTCTCTGGTTCAATTTGGTACCGCTGAGCGTCSGCTGTGCCAGGAGCAATAGGTAGGAGCAACTGGTAGAAGAAGAACACATCGCCATTGTCAATACGGTCCTTTGTGAGCCCATGCTGCTGAAGCTTGTAAATATCCAACTTCCCCTTCCTCTCATCTGGAAACATGTTGTCTMTAGTAGCAAACTTCCTTGCAAACTGGTTGTTAGGATCTTCCACTGTAGGATCCGCATCCCACCTTAGGTAATGAAACTTCCACCCCTTTTCCTCCCTGATAGGTTCCTTGCCAAGACCAGATAAGTGTTTAGGAAGTTCGACAGGCTTACACTCAGAAGGAAGGAAGTGTCCTTTGTACTTCCCCATACCTGCTTCAAACTTGGGTCTGTAGTAATACGGATGTCACCYACCTGGATTATCAACATCTTTCCAGTCCTCAGGTTCACCTTTGACAACCTTCGGATCTTTTCTTTCATAACCCACTGGGACCTTTGGGTASTTAAGACTGTTGTCAACAATAGTTCCATCTTTCCAATAAAAGAACTCAGTATCATGAGGCTCAATTGCATTGTCCCAATTCCAAGCTGTTTGTTGGCTCTGACTGATCACATTGAAGAACTCTGCTTGTGGTGCCTCCTCATGACTCATTCCAGAAGCTTCCAAATCATAATTAGGCTCAGTTTCATCAACAACCYCCTCATCAGTTGAGCTGTCCTCATCATCCTCAAACAAAGTTTCMACATCTGATTCTAAATCAAAGACTGCTTCAAAGGCAGATTCTTGGGACTCAAAGAGAGCTGGTTGTTGTAAGGCTGGTTGTCRTGTTGTCCTGCTTGTTCTTGACRAAAGTCGGTTGGTTATATTGTTGAGTGGCATCGATAATGTTGCTGTTGCTGATACTGTTGCTGAATACAAGTGTTGCTGAATAGTGTTGCTGATGAGCGTTGCTGGTAGTGTTGCTGATACTGTTGCTGATACTGTTGCTGATACTGTTGCTGATACTGTTGCTGATACTGTTGCTGATACTGTTGCTGATACTGTTGCTGATACTGTTGCTGAGCATCGCTGCTGATTAGTACTCCTGCTGCTGATGGAAAGTTGTCAATTTGTTGTTGTTGATAGCGTCAACTTGTTGGTAGATTGCTTGGATTGATAGTGTTGCTGCTGCTGATACTGTTGCTGAGTACTGCTGCTGATATTGTTGCTGATATTCTTGCTGGAGATGAACTGTTGCTTTATRGTGTGGCTGATTAGTGTTGGTGGAGGGGGGGCAAGAAGATGTCGGTTGTCGGAACGAGAAGCGCTTTCACTGAAATAATGGTAGCTTCAGCACATGGTTGTGAGGACTCCTCTGTGTCCAACAACTGACAAGGAGTTGCCTTCCTACAATCAGCATCATGAAGGATCAGTATTGGTGCAGCATTGGATTTTATTTTAGGTAAATATGTTCATTGAGAATGTATTTCCAGCACTCYGACAGACATCATGACAAAAATTCCATAGAAAAAATGGGGTGTTTCGACAAGATTTCGTGATGTCAGCCGGCGCGCTCGACATGTTTTACACGGGAAAAAGATGGCCCAAAATGTAAGATATTATCGTACATCTGCTTGGGTGGAGGTCCCCATCACCCYTGCGTCTTGCCTTCTTACTAAAGAGATAATAAAGTGCTTGAGGAAGCATGGAAACAAGATTAGACCTRTCCTTAGTCTTCATGCATTCTCTGCCCCAAGTAAATTTGGGAATTTTTGCAATGGGTTGTTGATCAACTGCTTCGTCTTCTATTTGGGAGTTGGCTGGGGGGCCCACTTTGGGGACCCTGGTGGCTGGGGGGACCGGGACTCAGGCTTGGGGGACCCTGGCTGGGCAGACAGTGGCTTGGGGATCTRTGGCTTAGAAGAAGAGACTGATGTTTGATCAAGAGCTGGGCATGTCATGTCAACAGTTCACATGCAATACATGGCTGAGCCACATGGTAGAACTGCAGTACAAATTTACTGAGCTGCTAGGAGTTTCTACTGTGGTGGAAATGATTTTTTTGCATAGTACAAAGGGACAGATACTATTATCATGGTACTGTAATACTATTAAGGTAGTACTTCTACTACTTCTACTAATACACTACATGCATTGAAAAGATCCATGATTTGGATTTTGACATGGGCAATTGAAATCCTCTCCTGTTCAATTGTTGCTTTTGCCTTTTTGGAACAGAACCAACCAGTGATGACATTCATGGGTTGGAACTAATAGCATTGTTTTGATGTCGTTTCCCATTATTTTTGCCTCTTGGAACAGAAAATAATTGATATGATCAGTTGATATGGTGTCAAGGAGTGCCTTTTTGGGAAAGGAAGCTACATTTGACATTGTTTGATAGGTTGAAAATGCGGGAACTAATAGCAGGATTGATYGTCTCCTTTTTTGTTGTTGTTATGCAGTATGGATTGTCAATTTTGTTGATTGCCTTTTTGGGAGCAGAAGTAACATTTGACATCATTTGATGAGTTGAAAATGAGGGAACTTATTGGCATTGTCATTTGTTGTTGTTGTTGTTGTTGTTGTACAGTATGGATTGTGGATATTGTTTTCAATTGTTGTTTTCTGGTGTTAAGGAGTGCCTTTTTCTGGAACGGAAGCAACATTTGACATCATTCTATGGGTTGAAAATGCAGGAACTAATAGGTGATGTCGTTTTTTGTTGTCATTATGCAGTATGATGATGGATTGTCGATGTCATTTTTGATCGGGTTTACTGAGCATGGAGCATGTGAAAAAAAGGGAGTGGGGAATCTAAAAAAGGGCGGCTACAGGATGTGATGGGTTGCAATCACTTTTTGTGAAGTAGTATCTCTKTAGTACACTCAAGAAGTGTATCCATGAAAAGCCTTGTTTGCAGAGTTGGGTTGTCACAAAAGGGAACATGATCATTGCTTGTTTACATCACTGCATGAACATTTTGGCATCCATCAACACCACTGGYTAGTAGTAGTGAAGTCACTGTCAAGAACAAATTGTCCAGATTGCTGGTGGTGGGTGGTGGTGCTGGTGGGAGCATCACTCAGATAATGACATGGACGTTGATGCCTTGCAGCATCCTGCTGTAATTGGTGGACTTTACTTACTCATATGTCCCCTGGTAGGTCAGTCTGGAAGTCCTTWTGTKTAGGAGGTGCTTTCTTGAATGGAGCTCAGTTGTACTAGTAGTAGTAGTACTAGTAGTACTACTGCTGCTGCTGGTGACTTGTTTACTACTAGTAGTACTACTACTCCTAGTAGTASTA